GAGAAAGAGATCCCTGCTTCTATAGAGCTTATATTCTAGTGAAGTAAACAGGTCATGAACAATAGAAAATCTACATATTAATAAGCACTATGCAGAGAAAAAAAGTATTTGATGATAAAGCATAGATTGGAGGATCAGGAAAGGCTTCTTGGGGCAGGGGACAGGGGACAGAGAGTGACTTAGATGCTGTCATTCAAATGACAAGAAGGAAGCAAATGAGGAAGACTTGGGGGAAGAGCAGGGAAGATGATCTGGGCAGAAGGAACATGATGGGCAGCGCCCATAAGGGAGGAGGCATGGCTTGGAAACAGAACTCACGCTGGTGTGGCTGGGGCCTTCAGGAGAAGAATAGGGCAAAGATGAGATCAGAAAGGCAGGCAGGGGCCAGACAATGTCAGACTTTGTAGGCAGGGTGAGGAGTTTGGGTTTAACTTCAAAGGCAAGAGAAGCCATTGTAGGGTTTTCAGTAGGGAAGTCACATGATGTAATTTACATTAAAAAAATCATCTGGATGCTGTAAGGAGAGTTAATTGTAGGGAGGAGGAAGGGAAGCAAGGAGGTAAATTAGGACACAATGGCAGTACTGCATGTGAGAGACAGTGGCCACTGAAAGGAGATGGGCCTGTCACATGGACAGACATGGCTACTTGACTCACTGGCTGGGGGAGCTGATCAAATCAGCCTTTTAAGTATGAATTTCCTTACCTACAAAAAGGGTATAATAATGTTCTCTTGGAAATTTGTTCTGAGCATTAAATGTGATAATCCCCAGCACATACTAAGTACACAGTGACATCCTAGAAAACCAAAGGATAGTGTGCTAGTAATCTGGATCAGTATCAGCAAGCTACGGCCCATTCAGTCCATTACCTGTTTTTGCTGATACATTTTACTGGAACAGAGCCATGCTTGTTTGTTAGATGTGGCCGCTTCCACACTGCAATAGCAAAGTTGAATAGTTGCAACAGAAACTATAACGGCCTGCGAAGCCTAAAATATTTACAGCCTGGCCCTTTAAATTAAAAGTTTACTGATCCCTGATTTAGATTGTAATGACGAGTAGAAGGTAGAAGGAATGTAAGAGATATGAGATGTATCTTTACAAGGAGGAGGCAGATAATTCAGAGGAATGTTAGTGGTGTGTCATGCACTATATTTTTTAAGTGCTCTGCAAAAGAAAAGGCCCCAGCTGTAAAGACATGATTAATAAAAGGAAGCATTTGAAATAAACTTCAAATGTCATCATCACACAAATCAACCAATAGTATGTAACATTTATATAGCGGCCCTATATTTCCATTATGTTCATCAATAATTTTACTAAAATAATTCATTCTAGATGTATAATTTTAGTGTAAGAGAAGACAAGTAATGGAAAATAGCTAGCAATAAATTGGAAGAACCATAAATAAAATAGAGAGTTCATCCATGCAGTCAATAAGTATTAATTTGGCACAAAATTTATACTAGGTCCAGTGCTAGGTGCTGGGATACACAATGGTAGACATGACAGCCACAGTCCTTGCTTTCATGGAAATTGAGTTTAATGTTTCCTTCTGGGGAAGGACTGTCCCCAGCTCCGTGTGGGTACCTTTGTGTAAATGAAGAAATACCCTCTCCTCCTTCCTCAAGATACTTTATCTCCATCTGTAAGAAACACTCCAAAAAAGATTAATTTTTCTAGAGCCTTAATTGGCGTCTGCCAACAATTTTAATATAAATGTTCGACTCTACTGTAATTATGATGTAAATGGCTCTGGGGCATGACACCCTATTGGAGTATAGAAACTTGTTTAAATCTATGCAGAAGCATGAAATATATGTGCTCAGAACAGAAAGGGATGATAATATGGAAAGAAAGTACTGCCTGGGCTGAAGATTATGAAGACTGTTTCTCTAGTTATCAATTTTTACTAAGTTGGTGATCCCTAATTATGGTTTTATTAGTAGCCTGCTGGTATCTGGAATGATTTCATACGGCTTTTTAAAACTTTCAATGTGAAATTTAAGCAAGCAATGTATTATACCTGAAAGAGTGGACAAGGGGAAGATTGTAGTAAAATGAAATGATCAGTTATAGGATGTCCAAGTAACAAAAATTTTGGGGTCTTTCAGAGCAAAGCCGGGTTGCATAGTTTTGGGGAGCTGTGTTGGTATGTTTCTATTTTTATTAAATTTAATTTCTTTATTTACTTTCTGGTTTAAACAGAAAAATCCAGATTTGAAGTTCAAGGCTTTATATCACATAAGTAGTATATGATTAGAATTCCTAGGTGAAGAAGTCCCATATGAGGCCATTAGAAACAGTTTTATAAAACACAAAGGCTAAAACAGGCAATTCCATTGGCACTAGAATCAAAGCATGCATGGAGTAGGTCAAGCACCTTCATGATTATTTTTTCCCTTTGTTCAGAAACAAAATGAAAAGATGTATTAATTGAGAGAGCCTAATTCTGGTTTAGAATCAGAATGGAGGAGCATAAAGGGTGAAACAAGAAATAACTAAGAGGAATATGTGGGAAAAAATAAAAATAATTTTTTATTTTGAGACAGGGTCTCGCTGTTGCCCAGGCAGGAGTGCAGTGGTGCAACTGCAGTTCACTGCAGCCTCCACCTCCTGGGCTCAAGTTATCCTCCTGCCTCAGCCTCAGAAATAGCTGGGACCATAGGCACATACTGTCACGCCTGGCTCATTTTTAATTTTTTTTTTTTTTTGGAGTTGATGTTTTGCCCAGGCTGGTCTCAAACTCTTAGGCTAAAGTGATCCACCTGCCTCAGCCTCCCAAAATGCTGGGATTACAGGTATGATATACTGCACCTGGCCAGATGAAAATATTTTAATTAAAAGTCTGGCCCTCTTCATTCCCCCAAATTCTATTCTGAAGATTTTTATTCTTCTTCCTCTGTGTCCTAGATGCCATGCCAATGAACAAAATAAAGTTTCTCTTTCCTTTTCTTTCCTAAACACCCTCAACTAGAACCAACACAGTTCGATTCACTGGGAATTCAGGCAAAGATAACAAAGTTTGCTTTTCCTTATTAATAAGTGGCTAAAAGTTACCAGTTTATTTTCCATCACTAATTAGTTTTGCTTTATATTAACTTTATATGTGTATTTTTAAGGATTGATGTCACATATTGCCATCGCTTTATATGTTTTTGAAATCCCAGACCAAAGTGAATAAAAAGAAGTGATGAAAAGTTCTGATCAAAATGTGGAGATAAAGCAGAATGAATCACACTGATTATTTTGTCTTCTGTAACTCTGCTATGAAGTTTCTTATCCTATTTCATAAACTACTTTGGGCCTGGACTTTAAAAATCAACAATTAGTTATCGCAAATATGTTGAGTCAGAAAACGTTTGTCATTTTACAGAATATATCAGATAATCTCTATTTCCTTTCAAATGTTTAAAAAAAACTCAAAGGATTAAGAAATGGAAATAGACACTAAAATAAGTCACTTAACCCTATCCTACATGGGATTGCAACACTAGCTCGGTAAATAAACACTATACTCCCACTCCACTTGACCTTGATAAAAAGATTGCCAAGCCATGATCTTTATTGTGTGTTTAGAAGTATGAGTTTCTACCCAGTTGAGACCATTCTTGAGGGGAAAGGCCAAAAGCCACAGGAGAGAAAATATTTTGGTTCAACTTTGTGCTTGGTGAGCTGTTTTCCCTCATAAATTCACAAATTAAGGGACATATTTCTACATACTATCATACTCCCAATGGCTTGTGGTAAGCAACTATATGTCTCTTCTACTTGAGAAATGTTTTCTATTACTTCTTTTGTAAAAGAAACACACATTCATTAAACATCATCTCTTGAAATTTAAACAAAATTTCTCACAGGCTAAAACTTTCTGTATTAACTCTTGTTTCCTTGTTTCTTGGAGATTTCATAGACACTATGTAAGAAACCAGCTTTTCTCTCTTGTGAACGGTCAGGTAAAAATATTCTGCTGTTTAAACATAATTGTTAGTGTCTAATTATAGTAAAAACTACTCTGGAAGGAACAGTGCCTCATGGTAGCTGTGAAGAAATGTCATAAATTCAGAAGCTGAGTGAGTGGGAGAGAGGAAAGTGCATACAGTCCCCTTTCTACTGATGGTTCTTGATAACATTAGGTGGCTTAAGGACAGGGGATTAAATAATATTGAATCACATAATATGTGATTACCTTTTCTGCTTCTCTTTCCCTCCTGATAATGTCAAGGAGAAGGTTTGCATCCAGTTCTGGTTTTCCTGTCCCTTTAGTGCTTGCTAAGTTTTCTTTTTGACAGAGAGGGCTTCAGGCAGAATATAGAATAAAACAAGAAAGGTATAATATAATAATATTTTGTTTTAATCCTGTGTGTTCAGTGCACGTGGAAGTGATTTTTCCGAAGATACTAAAAGAAAGTTTCTTTTAAAGATAAGTGTGTTTAGAACTTCCAGATGACCAAACACATGGAGGTGTCTGGAGAGTGGTCCCTCAGGGAGGGCACGGAAGTTTTCACGCCCCGTCCCCCATACCTTGCCCTATGCATCTCTACATCTGTATTCTTTGTGATATCCTTTATAAGAAAAGAGTAAATGTAAGGTACTATGTCATTCCTTATGGTACCAAGTAAAGTGAGAGTCCTGTTGTCCATGGTCAGCCAGCCTGGGACTGTCAGGTAGGTCCTGACCATTTATCTACTATGGGAAACATGATTAGAGTTTGACCAAATTTGTTCAAACTGGGGGGAGTGTAACTGAAACACCAGTGGCTTGTGCATCGCACCATTTGAGGGACCTAACCATATGACCACGGTGTCATCATGAGGAACAGACCAGAATCTCCAGCTTCAAGCAGTGGATGCCTAGGAAGGAAGATCTATGACTACAGACAGAAATCTGGTGGCTCTCTCTAATTGGCCAGTCCTGGTCTATGTGTCCCCGACTCAGTGGCTGTATTTCCCTGTACCTCAGCTTCCCTTTAACAAAATGGGATAAAGAGTAAAATATGTGTTTAGATAAAAAGTAAATTAATGTAATTAAAAACATTAAGTAACAAAGGTGATGTAAGAATGTGATCAACTACAGGGTCCAGTGGCTCATGCCTATAATTCCAAGCACTTTGGGTGGCCTAGGTGAGAGGATTGCTTGAGCCCAGGAGATTGAGACCAGCTTGGGCAACATAGTGAATCTCTGTCTTTATGAAAAATCAAAAAATTACCTGAGTGGGGTGTCATGTTGCTGTTCGTCCTAGCTACTCAGGAGGTTGAGGAAGCTATGATTGTACCACTGCACTCCAGTGACAAAAAAGAAGAAAAAGGACAAATGCTATGAAGTGACTGAGTTTGGAACCAATTGTTACAGTTCTCTAAATGGAGATTAACTCACCTTACACCACACTTCGTCTTAAACAAACAAACAAACAAACAAACAAACACTTCCTTTCCTTTCTTTCTCTCTCCCTTCTTCCTTTCTACCCTCTATCATTTAAGAAAATGGGTTCCTAGTATATATAATATGCCTGACACATTAGGCACTGCAAACTCAGAAATGCAAAGATCAGTAAATATATTACCATCTTTCTTCTCAACCTGCTCAGTCTCACTGGAAAGACAGATGTGCAAACAATTATTCTGTAGTTAGAAATGTGACATGTATTGCTGGGCATGGTGGTGTATGCCTGTGATCTCAGCTACCTGGGAGGCTGAGGCAGGAGAATTGCTTGAACCTGGGAGGCAGAAGTTGTGGTGAGCTGAGATCACACTCCAGCCTGGACAACAAGAGTGAAACTCCATCAAGAAAGAAGGGAGGAAGGAAGGAAGGAAGGAAGGAAGGAAGGAAGGAAGGAAGGAAGGAAGGAAGGGAGGGAGGGAGGGAGGGAGGGAGGGAAATAAAGAAGAAAAAGAAAGAAAGGAGAGAGGGAGGGAGGGAAGGAAGGAAGGGAGGAATGACGGAAGGAAGGAAGGAAGAAATGTGACATGTATGCAAGGTGTATAGTAGCCTAAAGGAGGAACAGTCATTTGAGAAGCAAGGGGAGGTGTCAGGTTTCAACCTTGAGAATCAGTTTAATGAAATACAGTCCAAGTTCATAACTATACCCTTAATTTATTCAGCAAACTTCTAGTGAGCCAGACACTGCATTAAGTCATGGTGATTTGGACATGAAAAAGATATAGTCAAAGCATCAAGAAGTTAATGATTAAAGTGGGACATAAGAAAGGAAAGCAATGGTTATATAGATAACCCTTATCTGAAACCCCTGAAGGCAAATATGTTCACAATTCTGAATTTTTAGAATAGTGATATGGCATATGCACTATACATCACATAATAGCAGTAAAAGGGCCTGGGGAAGCCCCTCATAGTTAAGACATAGAACTAGTCATACTAAATGGAATAAAGAGTATAACTACCCTTACGTCAATTCTGTTTAGGTGTCTAGTTTTTGTAATTGTTTAGATTTCTGAGTTGCAGAAAGTGTTTGGGAACATATTCTTCAAAATTGTTAGAGTTATGCTGCAGGGTATTTTGGCAGAACAAAGAAAGGACAACAAAACAGTCACGGAAGGCCTCCCTGAAGATGTATTTTCTGAGCGGAGTCTTGATGGATGAATAGGAATTAGCCAGGCAGAGAAGATGGGTGAAGCACGAGAACTGGAGGATGGGGAGAAAGGTCTTCTAGGCAGAAGAAATGGCTTGTAGAAAGACAATGGCCTTGGTGTTTGGGGGGAAACTGCAGGTAATTCAGAACAGCTGTGTTTGTGGGGTGCCGAAGTAGATGGAGAAGGGGATGAAGATGGAAATGCTGATGGAGAACAACTGAGATCTAGTGGAAGACGTGGACAAGGACCCATGCCGAGTTAACCTTTATTGTGAAAGATAGAATGAGCTACTAAGTAATATTTTAACACTGTATAATCATATGAACAGATTTGAAATTTTAGACAAACCATAAGATTGGACAGAGCTGATATACTACACAAAATTAGGAGGATATTGAAGTTGTCCAGGTAAGAAATGATGAGAAAATGCAAGTTGGCATGGTTTGGCACATAGTAATTGCTCAAAAAATCATGGCCCTTAGAGAATCAAAGGCAAGGATGTGGTAGAGATAAATAAGAAGGGACATTTAAGGACTCAGTGTTTGATTGGGTTGGGAGGTAAGGGGCAGAGTCTCCTCCCCTGATTTCAAGGTCTTGGCTCCTTGGTGGAGCTAAGCTAGGGAGCATTGGTAGAGTACATGATTCTGTGGTCCTGGGCGGCAGAAAAGGAGAAATGATGTTTTCCATTTTGGATGAGATGAAATTGGGTTTGGGATTCAGGGAAATTGTCTTAGATGGATTTGGGAGTCATTATGTGATAGCTAAGCCTTAATGTAAATAAGATCATACAAAGCATGATATGAGAAATAAGGCAGAAGATATTTAAGGAGGAGATAACAGTCAGCCCTATCAAGTGCTCTTGAAAAAATAACCCAGATAAGGGTCTAGAAAAGACTTCCATGGCTGTAGCAAACAGGAGATCAACTATAATCTGAAAAGAGAAGTTTCAGTAGCTGAGGAAGGGCAGAGGCCTGATGACTATAAATAAAGTAGTGTGCAAGTGAGAACATAGGGACCCCAGTGTCAACTACTGTCCCTTTAAGATACTTGGCTGTGAAAAGAGAAACAGAGAGGAGACAAACTTAGAGACAAACATAGACTGCACGGAAAGATTTTTGGTTTAGTTTTTAAAGGCAGGAGCGATGTTGCCAGACTGTCAGTTACTTCTGGCAGTCAGCTTTTCAGCTGTGTTGCAGCCTGCCTCTGGAGGAGGGGAAGTGTCTTTGATGCTCCTGAACACAAGAATTTCTCAGAAACAGACTGCCAGATAAACAGACTGGCCAGGAATAGCTCTGCGGGGAAGTACCCCTTTCTGGGCTTCTCTCCCAGGTGCTGCTCCTTGTGCTAACTTCCTGTAGAGTTTTTTTTTTTTTTTTTTCTCCCTCTATTGTCTACCTGGCTGGCTGCTTGCCTCTTGTTTAAGATGGCTCTTGTGACTGTATCGGTGCCAGGGAGTTGGCTTGTAAAAATACCTGTGTCTGTGGAGGCTTTACCAAGGTGATGTGCCTACCAAGCCACCAACACCTGGCCCTGTTAGTGTGTATCGTCTGCCTCACACATTCAATTTGGGCAACCAATTTTTATGAGTGCCTGAAGGGATAGAGAACTAGGCTAGAGGCAGTGAGAGACAAAAGAAAACAGGACCTTTGCCCCTGTGGGCCTTAAAATCCAAGGCATAGGATAGTCTTGTAAATAATGATGACAGTGGTTCTTAACTTTCTGGGGACACCCAAATCCGTTTGAAAAGTTGATGAAAATGATGTGCTTTCTCCCTATGAAATAGCACACAGAATTTAACATACAATTTCAAGGGGTTTATGAACTTGCTAATTTGGAAGTCGCTTATAAATCTCACGTGAAGAATGCCTAAAGAGTTATTGCTGCTCTAGTAGTGTGTGCTTCGGCTAAATAATGCTTCTGAGATTCAGTTTCCAGATTATGCTGCCTGTCTTGCAAGGGTTTTGTGAAGACTCAACGAGACAACATGAATAAAGTGCTTAGCACAGGTTCCAACACAGAGCTAATGCCCGATAGATATTGTTTCAGTTTTATGTGTGTTACGGAGAAAACGAGCAAGGTGTTATATGGGAGTTACAGCTAACTCGCTGTAGTGTTCTCTGGTAATGAAATCATTCCGGTATTTAGCTGTTACTTGTTGCAAACGTATGTTTCCCATACTTTAGTCATTCCCTGCCTGCCTTCTGAAATTTTGCTTATCCCAGTCCCACCTGGACAATTGCTCTTTTAAAATATTTTTTAAACATACATACTTGCTTAGGAAAGAACTTCTGGATCCCTACCTTAAATAGAAAAACCGCTTTCACTTGCCTTAAATGGAAAATAACAGTATCAATAAACAGTGAAACTAAACAATGAAAATGAAACAATGTTATAAATTCCAGTTAGATACCAGTGCTTACCTAGGGCTTTGAGCCTGGGGCCTGCTCCGTGATAAAAGGGAGTTTACTGCTTGAGAGAGAATACTTTCTCCTTGTATGCAGAAGAGCTGAAAGAGAATCCAAAAAGAAATATATTTCTTACTATGTGATTCATAGTCATTTAACGGCCTGGCCCTTCTCGCATCTTCCCTGACTACAAGTGAGATATCCTCCCTTTGGGAGACATTAAGTGAGGGCAATTGCTCCCCTCGCCCCATGCCAAGCCAACTAGAATAGTAAATTCTGTGGGGGCAGAGGCCTGATATCCACCTATCCCGCCGGCCTTGTCCCGGACAGGAGTGCAGCAAAACCCTTGTCATAAGAGCTCCTAGAAACAAGGACACTCAGAGGTCCTGCTCCCCATTCCGTTGCTGGATCAGGCTCAGTGCCTTCGTCACACCCCGGACAGCTCCGGGGTTTCATATTTTAACCGGGCACGTAGCTGAAGCAATCTGAGTGCTGCCCGGACCTCGGCGGGGTGGAAGGGAGTCTGTCTGTGGGCGTTGCTTGGAAGCTATCTGCCCGGCAAACATTGCTTTCACATAGATCGTACCCTATAGATTAATAATAATAATAACGCAAAACCCAAATTGCCTAACGATGATTTTATTCCCTTAAGCCCTAATAAGCACCAGTAAATCGCAGAATGTTATTTTATTATTATTAATTATTATCATTATGGAGATGGCTAATGAAACTCTATTCAGCAGCCCGCAGGAAAGGGGACTCGCCCTCCCTTTCTTCCTGGAGCTGCCTCTGATGCCCCCAGTCACCCTGAGGCCACCCGCCTCTTACCCTGGCCCCTGGGCCCTGGCCCCTGGTCCCTGGCCCACTGGATGTGATCTCAGGGAGCTGGGAGCAGCGCAGCCTCCGCCTCCAGCCCAGCTGCGCCTCTACCTGGGCCGGGCCCGCCCCCTGCTCACCGGCCCGCGCTGGCACCTGGCGGTCGCCGCGGACACAGCAGGAGGAGGAGGAGGCGCCGCGCAGGGCGGGCGTCGCGGGGCCGCGCTTGGCGTTCCTGAGCCGCGGCCGAACTTTTCCCAACAAGTCCCACGTTTGGGGGCCGGAGGAGCGGGACGGGGAGGAGAGACCGGAGTTCCTGGACTGAGCAGCAGCAGCAGCCCCACAACATGGCCTCCTCTGCCTCCTCCTCTCCCGCAGGCGCCGAGGACTCCGCTCCTGCGCAGGTGAGCGCCGCGCCGCGCCGCCCCCCTACCTGTGGCTGCCTTCACCCAGGGGCGCGCGGGGACCCGGGCGTGCGGGAGGCCCGGGCGGGGTTGGGAGCAGGAGCCCTGGAGACTGCCTGGAATCCTGCCCTCCTGGGGTGCCAGGAGGCGCCGCGAGGCTCTGGGAAGGCGAGCAGAGGGGACCTGATTCCTGCAGATCGTGGGGGTCCGGTTGCGCCCGGAGCGCGGGGCTGAAGTTGCGTCCCGGGACACAGGCGCGAGCTGGAACTCGGTCCCAGTGCCGGAGCATCCCCAGGAGAGAGGGGGCCGAGGAATTGGGGCATCTGCTTGGAAACATTCGTCTAGAGAAAAAGTGGGCCCCGGGCTCAGGACGCCCTCACCTCGGTCTCCCGTCTTGGGGCTTCCTTGTTCCTGGCTTGCACCTCCAGCCCCTTGCCAGGTTGAACCCTTCCTAAGGACACGACCCAAGCAGGCTGCAGAGGCTGCACGTTTGGCAGAGAGGAAATCACCTGGTTCTGAAATCACCTGGTTCTCAAAGTTACCTTCAGAGTTAGGCTTTTTTTTTTCCTCCTTTTTCTTTTTTGAAAGTGAGCCTATTTAACTCCGTTAAAGTATAGAATATACTTTATAGATTGAGACAGAAACATGCAGAGTAGGGTGGCGATCGCGGCAGTGCCCGGGGGTGGCTTTGGTGGGTTTACCTTCTCCCCCATCTCCGAGAGCCTTGTAAAGGCATGCAAGCAAAAACACGAAGTGGAAATCGGGTGCCTGACGAGCAAAACCGCAGCATCAAGAAGAGTCTCTTTCTTTCCACCCCACATCCCTCAGCAGATTGCCACCTTTAAGCCCGGAGGCGTTTAATAGCAATTTTGGAGCTGCCACTATGTGTATAATGTGGGATAATTGGTTTAAAACACTCGCTTATGTTTGCATGTGCATAGAATGGCTAGGGCAGGGTTCCTGAGAAACAATAGTTGTCCCGGGAAGGAGGTTGGGGAGACAAATGAGAGGGTGAGGAGGGAGACTTACCTTTCACATACCTTTTAGGACTTTTTTTTTCCCCCCCAATGCTGGGGCTTGCTTTACCGATTTTTGCAAAAGAATAAATACTACGTGTTTTGAAAGTGAGACACATTAGAATCGTCTTGAAAACAGAAGTTCACTTAGTTTTGAGTTATGTAGAATCGCCCTTGAAACACAAATCTTGCCCATGTCGTGTTTTTCCTTTAGTCGTCGTCTCTAAAAATCCTCAAGGAATCAAGAAGTCTTCAAAAGAAGACTGAAGTTTTGACCGAGTCAGTTGCTGATTTTGATTTTGCTTGAGAGTGTGGCTTGTCTAGTTTTGAAAGAGTTCACTTTCTCTTATTAATAAAAACACAGAGGAGTCATCCTGGGGTTATACAGGACCCCATTCCAGGAAGATAGGCTAGGGTAGGTAGGCTTTAGAGGGAGACAGTCTCAGAGTGGACACAGATTGCTGCTTTGGCAGTTCAGGCAGCCTTGTAATCTGCTGACCTGGACTCAAACCAGTGCATGTTTAAGGAAGCAAATTTCTGTATTGAAAGTGAATGTAAAGTTAAAACCACAGTTCCAAAACAAAAACTGACTGAGGCAAAACAACCTTTTGATTATCTCCAAATCGGCTACTAACATCCAGAGAGCCAACTTCTCTTAGTTCTCAAATCAGTGGAGGATAAATAAGTGAGTTGTGAATTTGGACTGTGGACTGTTATTAATGATGGTTCTCAGTGTTCTTTTTGCTAAGGCATGAATAAATATGTTTCATAATCTACACAGTGATGTGTAGGCTCCATAGCAGATCTTGTAGCCAAGATCCTTCAGACCATGTAAAGGCCAGTGGTGTGTTTTTGAATCCAAGGAAACAGTGTAGATTCTGAATCTGTTTGCATTTTTGTGTAGTTATATTAGTACTGTGGTTTTCCTTTTTTCAGTACTTTTTTTTTTCTTTTTACAGTGTTCATGAGTTTAAAGAAAGTGAGTGTCTTTAACTCTAGAATAATATTGATAATTGAGAAGAATATAATTGTTACGGACTCTTGGCAGTTTTTCTTAGGTTAATCTCTAATTACTGTAGTTACTTCTCTATTTGAAATTATTCATTTTTATGCACAAAATGTCTGTGTATTTTTATAGAGCATGTTATTGTAATTATATGGAAGCTGTATAATCCAAATTGGAGATTATATAAAATTCTAACCTATGTAAATGGGGTTTTTACCCTTTTGAATGAAGTAAATACTTGACACTGATGAGTCCAACTATCTGACACTTTTACACAAGATTCATTCTGAGTTAGAACAGATGATGAATTTTAATTTGAATGTTTAGCCTTGATACAACTTCCCCAAACTCACATTATTAAATTTTATCCTTCCGGAAAGATCAAGGTTACTAAAGATCTAATCAGATCTGAAGTAACTTTTCTCTGTATGTATTGACTGGGCTGTTGTTCACATAATTATATCCTTGGATCTGGCAAATTTGAATTCCAGTCAGATGCAGCTTAATGTTAAGGTACCTGGAACAATAGGGCCATTTAGTTGTAATAATTTTCATCCAGTGTCAACGTGTGAAAATAGCATAAACATTTTCAGTTGCCTTCTATCCATGACACAATTTTAAAAGTTGATTTGATATAGTGTACTTTCTCTTAGACGTGTGTTTTAAGTACTAGAAGCTCAGTTGTTATTAGTTATAATTTGAAAGTTCTATTCGAGCAGGCATGGTAATTTATGCCTATAATCCCAGAACATTGGGAGGCCAAGGTGGGAGGATCACTTGAGCCCAGGAGTTCGAGACTAGCCCTGGCAACATAGTGAGACCCTGTGTCTACAGAAAATAAACAAATTAGTGGGGCATGGTGGCAAGTGCTTGTAGTCCCAGCTACTCTGGAGGCAGAAGTGGGAGGATCGCTTGAGCATGGGAGGTTGAGGTTGCAGTAAGCGATGGTCATGCCACTGCACTCCAGCCTGGGTGACAGTTTGAAGTGCAGTGGAGTGAGACACTGTCTCAAACCAACAACAATAAAAAACCAACAACAACAAAAACCCTTTTAGCATTAAGTTTAGTGTGTGTTTGAGGACCGTGCATCTTTTTTCCTGATTAGACTGTAAAAGATGTGGTAACATTTCCAAAATCTACATTCATGGTTGAAATATACCCTGTACACTTGTCTCAGCATGCTTGAAGGTGGACAAACAAAATCTTCCAAAGGGTTTGTCCATTCACAAAGACATAGATTTTCTCAGGAACTAACCAGATTCCTGTTTGACCATGGGAGTGAGATCAGTGGTACCAAAATAGAAGCAATTTATTGATGTTTTATGGAAATTACTCCTGAATTTTCTCTCTTGGGAAGGTCTTGTATGGATCAATTACCAAGTGTCATATGGTGTGATGGGCGAGAAGAAAGCAATCGCATGAAAGTTATGTGTTTTCAGTTCTGAGTAGATGGTAGTGTTTTCCCAGAATAAACTGGCTCTAGTTTTTGATGTATATTAATAATCTGAGGTTAAATGATGTAATGTTTGGAGTTAGAGCTTTAAAATAGGAAATAAATTTGGTGTTTTTTTGATCAGATGATGCTTTGGCACTGTCATTTGCAGATGGTAAGAGAAGGGAAGTAATGAGAAATGGCCCTAACGTGTATTTTGGACCTGGCCTGGGAAGGGAAAGTGGCAGAAATGAAGTTAGTTTGAATGCCATTGTTGAATTAAGTTATGTGTTGCTAAGTTGGAAAGGCTGTTTTGAAGATAACTATGGTGACTAATTGGTAGCTGTTATGTCATCTAGCTTCATTTCTGGGCTGGGCTACTTCTCTGGGGGATGCCAAGGCTTCATGCTAAGGATCTACTCTACAAATGTAGGGCCTCTCTTTCCCCTACTTTTTTCATGTTGTGATGCTTCATAGGGAATCTAGCAAAAAACAGCTCTGTGACTGCAGTGTTGCTCGTTAGCATCAAACATAGGGCTTGATACACATGAAGGCCAATTAATGTTTGTTAAATTAAGAATCTAAAAATGATGAGGACCTGACATTCAGATTTAGTAGCAGCTTCAATTATTTAAACAACACATACTTTTGAGCTCCTATCATGTAAAAGGCACTCAGGTACACAATGAGAGCATGGTTTTTACTGTTAAGTAAAAAGAAGTATGCAGTCCAATTAGATAGAGAAAACATATGCATCTTGAAAATATAACTGCATTGTCTAGTAATAATAACAACCATGATTTATTATGCCTCTCACAGTAGATGTACTTCACAATAAGCTAGGGGTTAAGTATTGTTACCACCTCCCACCCCTGGCATTTTATACATCATGAAATTGACCTTCAGGAAGAGCATGCAAGTTCTAATGTAGTAACCTGAAACTTGATAGGAACCTTTGTCTGGTAATGATGGAGAGAGCAATGTTAGTAAAACCAGGAGTCAAGGAATGAAGTCCCTGTTCCCAACTACCTAGTTCTGTAACCCCAGAAATGTGTCACCTCCTGGGCTTCCATTTCTTCACTAGACGAAGGAGAGGGTTAAAGTATTTCTAAGGCTTATTCCAGCTATAACAGTCTATGATTTAAAAAATTTAACTGCTAAAAGGGTTATAGACAATCAGTAATAAAGTGATACATTTACTTGTTTCTAGGGCACATTTTTTCTCCTCACATTGGCATTCCTAATGTTAGGATAATTTTCCAAATGTTGGGAACTTTGACATTTAATGTATTTTAAAAAATGATTTCTTTTTCCCTGAAAATCTGATTTTCAAGCAATTGTGCTTCCTACTATTGATGGCATCTTAGACGAGAAATTTGTTAGTTCCAACAGGAAGTGACAAGGTGACATCTCAGTGAGTTTGGGCTGGTAATTGAACACTCATCAATGAAAAAGAACTTGAGTGTAGAAGAATGGAGACATTTCTCATAGTAGGTGGAGAACAATTGAGAATAACTACTTGGCCTCTGTGGGTCTTTGAGGTTTTCTTTCTTTTTTAAACAAGTTGAGATATTATCAGCGGTATGCTGGTAAAATGGATCTAGAAAAAAAAAAGGCCCTGATTCGTAGCATTTGCCTATTCCTACTTCTACCATGGCTGATTTCAAGTTACCAACAGGAGATGAACATGGAGCTGGAAAGAGCAGCACAGAATTCGTAAGCACACCACTTACATACAGTGAGATGCACAGAGGTCATTTTCAGTTGGATGAACAGTTTGTTTTTTCCAATTTATATGACACCAGGTGTCAGGCACACATGGGGAAGCACAGATAAATAACTAGTTCTTAATTTTCATAATGTCATTGTTTAGCAGACTGTTTCCATGAACTTTTAAGTAGAGAAAGGGTGCTTGCACTGAGAATAGTTGATTAGATCTCTCTTTTCCCACTGAGAATGAAATAAATACCAAGTAGATCCTTAAATATGTAGATTAGATCTGAGAGAATTGAGGTCTGTAACTGGCTTATTTGATGTTAGAATGATGGATTATGATTTTTAAGACCCTGTTTCTAAGGCTGTCAAGCATAATAGATTCTTGTTCTGCTTGTGTATGTGTTGG